GCGCACTGATGGAGAACACGCAGCTACAAACTGAACTTAGTGTGCATTTGGTCAAAGAGTTTCTCAGTCGGTCCTTCTATATGTTTATTGTGTTTATGCTAAGATACATTTAAAAGATGTTTGTGGGACAAGGGACCATTACTTCATTTATGACAGAGTGTAACAATGTGTCACTGAAATGGAAATGCATTGCTAAAAGAAACAAAAAATCTAAAGTGACCGAATTATGTAACAGCAATTTAAGGATTTAACTGTATCAGTTGTGTCTTTGTGGTTGCTACATGCCACCTTTGCAAGGAGAGAGCAAGTCTTAGGTTGTGTATCTTCACACATTCCTCCAGGTGGCGCAGGAGGATTGGAAACGTGAGCTGGAGAAAAAAAATACAGCAAACAGTGGAAACAGAGATAAGTATTAGCAGATATACTGTTGAAACCAGAAATTCATACACATCAAATCAAAAGACACTTCCACTGTCTGAAGTTGAATAAGACCAAACGTCTGATTATGTCTGTGTGCTAAATGCCTTAATAATGAGAAAATATATTTATAATTATATAATATATTTATTAATTTCTTTTTTATATGATTTGAAAGTAAAAAAAAAAAAAAAAGAAGAGAGAACTGTGGAGCTGCACAATTCTGATTCATCTTTGCTGATAATTTATATGCAAGTACAGACATGATGGGAATGTCCAGCCATCATGATGTTCAGGAAGGAGACTGATTCTGTGTCCCACAGAGTAACTTGTTTCGGTCCAAAATGTGCAAATTGACCCTAAAACAGAACATAAAGCCCTTGTGAGGAAGGAAGAAGCCTTTACTTCAAAAGAAACATAAAAATGAACACAAGGATAAAAATCTTCATTTTTGGAGACTTGTCCTTCAGTCTGTTAAAACCAAAGTGGAACCCTTTGGCCATAATCTTAGGGGAAAAACAGGGATGCTTTTACCATTCCAACCGTCAAGTATGGTGGTGGCAGCATCATGTTGTGGAGCTGTTTCACTGCAGGAGGAACTGGTGCACTTCATAAAATAGGTGGCATCATAAGGAAAGAACATTCAGGCAGGAAGTTAAAGCTTGAATGTAGATTGGTCTTCTAAATGGACAACAACTCTAAATAAGCAGCTAAATTGGTTTTAAAATGGCTTCAGGACAAAATGTCAATGTTTTAGTGTCACAATTGCAATATTGCGATCTCAGTCTTGTGGAGAAGTCTTGGTGGCCCTGAAATCCAGCCTGAGTCACTACAGTCCAGTTCTCTAAGGAGGATCGGGCTGGAACGCCAGCAAACTAGACAAAACGTTCTAGTCATGGTGCAAAGGTAATGCTAATAAATGCTGATAAAAATAAGTCTGACATGTTCTTTCTCTCATTTTTGTTGCAAGTAGAAATGCTTTTGACACTTTCAACCAAAAACAAGAGAAGCTGGGTCTGGTTTAACTTCAGATGGTGGGAGAAAAGGCAAATTTGTATTTTTATTTAGTGTATGCATAGCTATAAGCACTGATTACAGATCAGAGGATCCTAAAATGATACTATGGAGATCAGTAAATGCAGAGATCTTGCTTCATTACTCGGCCATTCCTGCAGATTATGAGGTGCTTCAAATATACCTTCTTCGGCTGTGTTTTTAATAAGCTGCTTTGAAAGAGCAGCTTGGGATGTGTCGTCAGAAAACTGCTGTGAAGTGTCAGTATTTGGGGATTTGGGCTGCTATCTTGAATTGGCCTCATTCTCTGTCTCCAGGGTCCATCTGTGCCTTCATTAGCTGTCTATCAAAAGACGCTGTGGAAGAGAGAAAAAAGAAAAAAAAAAATCAAGGACCCGTCTTGTTCTTTTTTGGTAATCCCTCTCGTCAGCCAAGAGCATCCTCCCACACCGCAGCTATCTTCTGTTTTTGCAATGAACTAAAAAGGACAAAGATAAAGGCAGGAGGAGTGAGTCCACCTACTCTCCCACAGAGCTACCCTCCCACTACCTGATCCCCAACACGCCTCGGATTTTAGAAGAAAAAAATTACTTCACAAACAGCAAGACAGGAAAGAGGCAGCGGATGCAGTGATTGGCAAAAGTATTCATACTCTTGTAATATTTTCACATTTTATCATTTCACTACCACAAAAGCAAGTAAATTTAAATAAAATATGATGTAAAAGGTTGTTTAATTTTGTAAAAAAAAAAAATTAACAGCAAAACTTTGGTCATTTTGTCCATCATAAAGAAAACAAAATGTGGCTGTTCGAAATGTTATAGGAACATTTTGAACAGGTCAGACTTCCAAACGAAATATTTAATTAACATTTAGCATTTAGGAGTATTTTGCTCACACACTAAATATTTAATTTGGAGTTTACATAGAGATGTGCATCACTTTCATTTTCATATTCCACTTCTGCTTCCACTTCTGAGATAACTGAACACCAAACCAAATATCAAAATATACAACATGGTGCTTTAATTTACTTCAAAGTCCCGTTTTGAATTCTATTCAACATTTCTGAAATCCACACACTTTCTCGTTGTCATTTGTGGTATTGATGAGTGTAAAACTGGCTTAATTTCTGACCCCAGTTTTACACATTTGGGATCCGGACCTGAACGTTTTGAACTGGTTCAGACCACAAGTGACAAGCTAATTCCCAAGAGTCGATGTCCACAGCTTTTAGGATGTGGCTCTGCTTCAACACACCTGAGTCAAATATTTATGTAGGACTCTGTGGTACTGGACCAGGGACGCATGTAGAAGTTACAGAATCCTGGCCCAGGAGGACAGGAGCTTGACAGCTCTGCAGAAAGATAATACAGATGAAAGTTGTATGAAACAAGTTAATTTTCTTTTCATGATCCATAAATGAAGACGAGTCATGGTTCTGCTTTCTACTGGAAGACACCGCTCTCTCATGGCGCTCTGTCCTTGAAAAATTTCTCTGTCACGTAACATTACAGAGCTTTTTGGGCCAAGTCCCTGCAGGAAACATTCATTTCTTTCCTCCCTCATAAAGGTGCTGCTGGTTTAACAGTTCAGTCGCCACAAACAGAAAAACTATCACTTCTGGGGCAAAAAGGACTGGCAGTGCTCCTCTTCTTAGAGCTGCAAAGTGTTAACGATGAAGCGGAGGCAGGACCCATCTGTTCTTCTCCCTGACACTATAAATCAGCTCCAGATAATGTTGCTGCGCTTCGTCACTGACCTAGAAAGTGATCTTAGGGCTGAGGAGGATTGCAGCGATTTCCTTTTCATTTGTTATCCAAAAAAGGATTTGCATTGCAGACAAAAAGTAGCAATAAATGCACAAGGAAACAAAGAAAACAACTGCAGAAGTAAGAAAATGAACAGATTGGAACGTTGTTGCTTGCTCCTTGCTGCTGAGATAATAAAGCCGTCCATAGAGAAACAGAGTCATGAATAGCTTGGCTTCAGGCTTAAATCAGTCAGACAGACAAGGACGCAATTGAAAAGACACAATAGACGAGGAGATTACATAACTTTTGGTCAACAAGCCAGATGATAATATCTGCACAGGAGCCACCAAACAGGCCCTCGTCCTGATTGGTTCAATCCTGATATGAACCCATGTGGAGCGTCTGTTCAGCAAGTTGCTTTGACTGTCGCAAGGTGTTGACTCTGTTGGGCACGAGACAGAAAGTGAAGTATTACGCTGGACCACATCGTTACAAACTTTGTGACAATGTCTGAATATTTACAATACTGCTTTCCAAAACTGGTGGTGAGGAATGGCAAATTCCAGGTGCCAATAAGCAGAGTTTGTTTCCAAAACCAGCAGGTCGTTTCTATGCATCTGAAATTCAGGGAATCGACTGGAATCTCATGGAAAAATGCAATTAAGATTTCCTCCTTGAGAAAAAAACATGTTGATGCTACTTCCATTTTTTTCATATTCACAGAAATCAACAAGGCAAATGTTGCCTGAGGATTCATGTGAATGTTTTTCATGCAGCTTTGGTAATTAACAATCACAAAATCCTATTGAAAAGATGGCCAGTATTAATTAATTTTAGGAAATGTTTAACATACTGAAATAAATAGCTATTTACTGATTTTGGATATGGCCCAAAATGGCCGAGTTTGACACCCCTAGTATAGAGTGTCCATTCCAGTCATGGAATGGACACACATGTTTTTGCAGTCCAAGTTTCAACTCGCTGAACCAAAGTGTCCAGGTCAAATGAAATTAAACTAGTAAGGATGTTCAAGAACAACCCAGGAGCCACTGAGGCGTTGGTCGATGTTGAAAACATTGAGTCTGAAGACTGAGAAAGGAAACTCATTACTAAAACAATCACTTTCAAGCATCTGTAGATGCCAAATTGGACAAATTCACTGCACTTCAACAGAAAATGTTTCATAACCACAAGAGATGAAGATTCGTCTTTTTGAGAACAATGACAAGACAACTTTCTGTAGGAGCAACGGCGAGACTTTACCAACTAGCAAGCGTCATGGAGGAAGTATTATATCAGTCGATTAGCTTCTTGTACTGTTGGTGCGTTGCACAAAGTAGGTGGAATAAGACAGAACCACTATTTCTAAACTATTCAACTTTACATCATATAAACAGTCGGTTCAAAGAAATTATGCCAGAAGCTTATTAGAGTTACCAAAGGTTTTTCTACAAATTTCCTACAATTTGTAGGAAATTGGCCCAATATTAGTCAGGTGTTTGCTTATAATTGAGCAAATTTTGGGCTCCTGTTGAGACACTTGATCGAGCTGCAGACTGTGGTTTGTTTTCTGTCCATATCAGTCAAATTAATCAATAAAATCTCAAGATTCTGAATAAAAATACAGATTTTGTGGGAGCATTAACAATCTAACTCATTTATTCTGATAGTTTCAAACAAAACACAGATGACAGAAACACCTTGTCACACAGTTACACCTGAATGGACTTCCACTTGAGTGCAGTTATAGTTTGGTGATCTAAAATGCACAAACACACAGGATAAGGTGAAATTAATCAACACAGAAGCGTAAAGGTCCTTCTATAACTTTATTTCTCTCTCACTGTGACATTGACTGTATTTTGTTTCCTGATGAGCTGTTTGTACCTGAGCAACACATTTCCAGAGTAAAAACATAATTATTGCAGAAAACAATAGAGAACATCAAGGCTGCAAAATACCTAACTCTAAAAAAAGAGATCCAGGAAATAATAAAGTGTCATTCTTGTCCAGACATCAGTGGCATATTTAGTTTGATCTATCGACATATATTGGAGGTAATTTCCTGCAGGAATGATGCTGGGCAGGCATGCAGCACTCATTGGTCAACCCTGCTTAACAGGAAATCTAAGAAGCTTAAAACGCTAATGCCCAAATGGCCCCAGGTAGCTGCAAAGCAGAAACAAAGAGCCTTTATGAAAATGCTGTCTGAGAGACAGCAGCAAGAAGAGACCTAAATGACCACAAATCAGCAAGAGAACAAAACACCAGTAGAAAGTAATAAATCTAAGCAATTTTATGGCCAGTTCGTGTAAGAACTTTTTGTTTGTAAAATAAAGTTCAAAGTGGATAAGAAATTTCAGCTGATAAAATGTTTGACCGTATAAATATTTTGTGATAAGGGTGAATTCATGTAAATCGGGGCGTTTCTTTTTGTAATCAGATTTGACAATTAACTTAGTGTGTTTTATAGCTTTGGGTTCTTCGGTTTATGTGAGAAAAGTTAAGTTTGTTATTGTATGAAAGTGTGGCTCTCTGTTTTATCATAACTGAGGCAAAACCATTTTTGACACAGTCAGAAAATTGGCACAATTTAGCTCTAACTATTATACTTATTATGGATGCTCGTCAGTTTGTTAAATAAAAATAGTAACCGATGCATATTTGCGCTGGTCTGTCACTAAAATGGTCAAAGTTTCACAGGCTCCGTAAAAAGCTTGATTCTTTCTTCATAACTTTAGATGAATGAAAATTTTGTTAAAATGAATAAATTCATCTGAAAAAATGATCCATTCTTGTGAGGAATAAATTAGTTCTTCTCAATTTTCTAGTTATTGTTCCTCTCATTGCACGTTCTTTTCTCTACCTACCACAACAACACACAAAATAAACTTTTACTGCGTTCAAAAATGTGTTCATTTAAATCTTTATGTCAGATCTTATTTGCTGACAACAGGGACATATTTTGTTTAGGACGCCTCAATTTACCATGTCATCTGGTAAATTGGTTTACAAAAAAAGGTACTAATTTAGAAAAAATATTTGACCTACATAAGGATTTTTGTTTGATGATCAGATCATCATTTTTCTGTATACTGCACTATACTGGTTTTTCATGTGATTTTGGTTCCAAAATAACTAACTATGCCACATCTTTGTCAACGCGAGGTTTTGTTTAGTCCGCCCTGCCCCCTGCTTGTCCTGTCCCGTTTTACCTGAATTCACCAGGTCACTGATTGATCAATTGAACCCAATCAGCAGCAGATAAAAAGCAAAGAATCCGCGCTGGGTTTCAGTCCGTCGCGGATGATCTCCAGCAGTTTATTGTTCTCTGACAAAAGGAGGAGAAGAGCGCTCTGGCTGCCTCCACTGACTCCAGCCAATCCACAGACGCCCACTGGAAATCAACCCGTGTGCAAAGAAACTGAGAAGAAAGTGAGAGCAAAATGGCATCTGAACTTGAACAAAGATAATTTTGTTTTAAGAACATGACTCTTATAAACCCGAACTATATTATTGAATGTTTATCTAAAAGTAGTCTGCGCCTTTTTTTTTTTTTTTTTTTTGGCATTTTAAACTTAGTGACATCTTTTCAAATCCTGACATTCTCACTTGTCTTAAGTCTTGTAAATAAAAGGAATTAGTCCGCCATGTCTTTCTTCCAACTTATGAATAATAATAATAAAGATTTGAAGTCAGGTGTCAGCAGCCTTTGAGGTGCGGAAGTGCTGAAAGTTTGTCTGCTTTCACCAAAGCAGCTGCATTTTCCACTCCCTTCAGCCACTCTTTGCATTTCCTCACCACGGACTCATCCACATCCCCGTCCTCGTCCTCGTACTCCACATCATCGTACTTGTATTGATCGTTCAGCAGAGATATTTTAACGATGGCGGTAATGTCCTGCTGTTCCGCGCTGTCCGTCTTGGCGCCCGGAGCGCAGCACTTGGACGCTCCGTGCGCCTTTTTGGACGGAAAAACTCGCCGGTGCCGAAAGTCTGCGGAGGCGCAGCACTTCTGCTGCTTGGCCATCATCTGCTTCTCCAGGTTCCGCTTTTTGATGACAAGAATGGCTTCAGGAGTGAGGCTGAGCGAGAACTGGATTTCCTTCTTTGTGTCCTCTTTTCCACTGAGATGTCTGGCGGAGTCCATTGAGCTGGAGCGCCTTATTCCCAACGATGGATCCTGCGGTTTGGGCACCGACAGCCAGGAGCACTTTCCCTGAGTCTCCTGCCCCGAACTGGGCTTCTGAGCTTGGCTTTTGTTCTTCTCCGGCTGCGATCTTCGCCCCAGATTCCGCAGGTTTGCAGATGTCCAGGAGCTGGGCTGTTTTCCCTTTTCGGATCCAGACTTGCCGGTTCGTTCAGCCTGAGCCTGGTCTGCGCTGGCCTTCTTTTTCCCAAATAGTTCCCTGCCAGGAGAGGAGATCCGCTGCTGGAGGCTGATCGGCGGAAAAGGCATCTCTACGGGACGAAATGATGAAGAAAATCAAGACACAAAAAGCAGCGAGTGGAACCTGAAAAGCCCTAAGCAGAGCGAGTGCAGGCGCTCTGGAGGCATTATCACCGGAGCGGTGGTGCACCTGTTGTCCACACAGGCTGGAGTGACACACACACACACACACCCACACACACATACACACACACACACACACACACATCCCGGCTCTTTTATTGTGGATCTGGTGGAGGAGGGCGTGGCCAAGAGGCGAGCCAAACAAAGAAACGGAAAACCTGGTGACGTCAGTAATAGTTTTTTTAGGGCCTTCCCTAAAACAACGAGTCACATCAACCTCCTGATGGTCACACTGTTCATATCACTCACTGCTTCCTATTTAGTCTCCTTTTTTGGGATTACACAAAGTTGCGTTTGAAACAATCTCATGTAGAATAATTTGTTCTGTTCATATTTGTAATTTCAACACTTATCTCAATCTTAAATTACTCAGATTGCAAAATGGTATAAAATGCTATTAGAAGAATCAAATTTTTATGCAAAAAATAATCAAGTTACTCTAGACCAGAGATAGGATTCAATATACCAAAAAAAAAGAAACCATATTTTTGTCAGATTTTTTTGAGGTTACTCAACGCTAAAGCATGCATTATACAGATTTTTTTCTTTTTACAATGCTTTTGTCTTGCAGTCCCCATTGACTGGACATGCAAATAAGTAGTAATTGGTACCCAAGTTATTGAATTGGATGGTGTCGCCCCATGCGAGGAGGGCGCCCAGGGTAGAGAACCATGTCACCCTTATCAAAAACCAAATTGCCTGACCATGATTGGTTTAGACTTAATGGACAATTTTGACAAAATGAGTCATATTTCTAACAGTTGTGGTTTGAATTCACAAAGAACTTTTTAATGAGTTCAGAAATGTTCTGTTTTTTTTTTATTATTATTTTCCACATTTAAAGCAATATAAAATGTCTGATTGGAAACTTCATATAATGCTCAAATGGAAAGTCATGAATATGAATCATTCTTTCAAAAATTAAGATGTAAAGTTGAGTGGAAGAAAACAGACTGGACCTTATCTTTAAGAGATACTCCAGTTGAGTCTGATGTACTTTAGCTGTACATTATGATATATGTGTGTGTTTCCCAAATTTACAGAGAAACAAACTCCTTCCACCATGACCAACAGTTTTCAGATAGAAATCCTGTAGAAAAGCTGTGAGATGAAGAGCAGCGAGAACAGGACAGGCAGGATCTAGAGGCGGTTTGAAGAGGAAGCAAACAAAAGGAGAAATACAGAGTTACAAGTTAAAAAGATGAGAGGAAAGAAGGAGGTAAGCGCAATATTAAGAAAGGACAGAGGGAAAAACGGAAGGACAATGACAAGTATTTTCCAGAACGTGTGACCCTGGTTCACTACATTGGAGATTTAAATGTTGGAAAAATGTAACTGTTGCTCTGAGGTGTCCATTGATGCTATAATATCACTACTGAGATCAACATAAGAGGAAACCAACAAAACAACAACAACAAAAACAGAAACACACAACACTGGCCAAGTTATTTATTAATCTTTGCAAGGAGATTTGGAGCATTAATCTAAAGAGGAAGCACAGGCGTGTGGGCTCCCTCATCTCTGACATAACCGCAGATTAAAAACTGGAGGAAGCAGCTGGGACTGGAGCAGATTGCGGAGGTCAGAACGTTTCCCCTGTTCAACCTCAAGCTTTACAACAATCCAAAAATAGCAGGCAGATGAAAAAAATAAAATAAAATAAATCGCAAAGACATCCAACGTAGAATAATCATTTCATCCCTGAGATCACAATGAAGGATTTTGGTGGATCCCTGTCAAATTAGGGATCCACCGAAATCCACACGTTCTGCAATCCGTGTGGGGATTGAAGAACGAGAAAAAGGAATGAAGTGAAGAATTGGATAAATCTGGAGAAGGCAGCCTCTTTGTCACGTTGAGCTGCAGAAACTGTTGGTCCAAAGGATTCCCGTTTAACAAAAACCTACATCGGCATAATGTCAACATCTGCTCTAAAAAAAAAAAAAGAAAAAAAAAAAAAGAAATGGGGGTAGGCAGAGGCACTGCATCCTCCAGAGGAGGTTGTCATGGCAACCACATCCTCAAAGGCTACATGCCATCGCAACACAGGGAGTTGGGTTATTAGGTCATGTCAAAATCACAATGCTCAGGGAAGCGTAATTAACTGGGTCATCGCTGCATATGGCAGGAAATCACATCTGAAAGTGGAGAAGTGTTTCTTTAACGGCATTTATTGGTTGGGGGCGCAGCGTGTTAGAAAGCACACACTCAAGACCAGTAGACAAGACACAAAGGCAGCATTTACAAATCTCATTAGCAGAAGAAAAAAAGGAAATCTTTTATAGAGATGTAGGAACAATACAGCCCAGTGCATAATCAGTAAAGCATTGACTCAAAAAAAAATAAAAATAAAAAAAACCTTCAGCACCAAACATTCAAGAAAACGCTTCTAACTTCTCCTAAGACCACTTTAAAAATCCAGAAAAACAAAGACAGAAAGCTTACAAATCAGAATAATCGAAAATGTGTGTTTGGTATAAATACAGATATAATTTCATCAAAGTGTTAAGGCACCACTGTTGCAGTTTGTTGTGCATAATAAGAATAATTTTCCTGCACATGACTTGCATAAAATCTTTAGAAAGCATAATAATCTCATAGAATCACCTTTTCTCAAATATATTAGGTATTAGGCATGATAGAAGAAAAAAAAAGATGATTTACAGTTACATGATGGCAGAATCCTCTTTTCTTAAATATATTAGGTATTAGGCATGATAGAAGAAAAAAAAGATGATTTACAGTTACATGATGGCAGAATCCTCTTTTCTTAAATATATTAGGTATTAGGCATGATAGAAGAAAAAAAAAGATGATTTACAGTTACATGATGGCAGAATCCTCTTTTCTTAAATATATTAGGTATTAGGCATGATAGAAGAAAAAAAAAGATGATTTACAGTTTCATGATGGCAGAATCCTCTTTTCTCAAATATATCAGGTATTAGGCAAGATAGAAGAAAAAAGATAATGGCTGAATTGCAACATCTCTAGCTAAACGTGAAAGGCAAGAATTCACAGTACGGGGCAGAAAGAGGTGAAAAGTGAAAAGGAATAGTGTATAAACATATTTAGAAACTGCTTTGCATGTTGGGACCAGTTTTCATTGAAACTGCAGCATCCAGAGCTTTAATTCAGGCAGGTAGTGAAGCACTTCATCACTGCATCTCTGCAAAAAATAAAAATAAAAAAAAAAGTCACACAAAACAGCAGGAGTACATGTTTAAAACATCATTATTTCTGAAATAATAGCCTGAATAAACAAATCAAGTCAGTTCATCTCCATGAGACCAACATCCTTTTCCACCAGCATTGAGGTGCGGCTCGTCATGAATAAGTTAGCATGTTTTGACGGGGAGGAACTCCACCCTCTCGGTTGTGGGGTTCTACTCAGCTCCAGCTGCGCCATGCAGAATGGTGATGCAACCTCACCGTGGCAACCACGCATTGTTGCCAAATCCATCTCTTGCCTCCTTGCTTTTGCCATCAGTGTGCTGCTATGCAGACTTCACCTGACCAATCTGTAAAACGCCGTCAAGGTGAAAAGGAGGCGCCGCCTGGAGGGTTCAGGGGCCGACAGGAAACCAGTTTCAACACGGAGCCGTTCTTCACCCACGGCTCCTGACAGCAACGCTCAGCCATCATGGTTTCACTATTTTTAAGCAACTGAAGCTAATTTTAGATCTCTATAAATAGACACTTCTCAGCTTAACAGATTGTCAATTTCAACGACGTAAATGTTGAGATGTATTTGAAATCACGTTTGAAGATACAAATCACAGTAAAATGAGTCTGATGTGCATTTAATTTAGCTCCATTTAAAAAGACACATTTACTCAACATAGGTCTGTTACTATATCAAATTTTGCTGGACGATAAATTGGTCCCAGGAATAACTGCTATCAACGATAATATTGCTGGTTTGAGACCATTTTCAAATAATGTATTTATAAGTATTTATTTATAATCCAAAGATTGGTGAACTCTAATTTTGTAAAAAAAAAAAGCCCTTTCAACTGGAAATTTTAAACATTTATGAAAATCCACATTAAATATCTAAAACAAGCTTTTAGAAGCAACTAGCTTCAAACTATGCAACCTATCTTTATTTTCCACATATATAGAAAACCCTCGCCTCATCCTACATGGTTTTTTGTTTGTGAGGGATTATTTTATACTGAAAATATAAATAAGTTTTAGTTTACTTTTGTTGACTTTCATAATTTAACACTTCATGTAGAATATATTTAAAATAATATTTTTTGCGACTTGAGTTTTGCTTTGATTTAGATGATTTAAACCTCTGTTTGTGTTTTTTGACATGTTTACTGTGTGAACTTAAAAATTTACTTATCTACTTTTCATTGAGATCAAGCATTTTCATAAGTTGTGGGGATAAAATTACTTAAATCATTACATTATACAGCTTTTCATTTAGATTCTGCTCCCTGGGTGAATCAGGTATGTCCATTGAACAGATTATAAACCCTGATGAAACTAAAATAACTAAATATCCCACATAAAACAGGTTTTAATTCCAAGGTTTGGTTTTAGAGTTTGTTATCTAAACTATACCTAATCAAACAGAGTCTATGAGTCCAACACTTACATTATAAAACTATTTTTCCATTATGTTTGCTATTTAATTTGATTGTTTTGGAGGATTTTGCAACTCCAGTTTTTGAATGCCACTGTCCTGAAACATTTAGATGCTTCTCTGCTCTGACACACCTTAATCAAATGAACGGTTAATGACCAGGCCTCTGGAAAACTTCCTTACATGTCAAGGAGGTAATTCAGTCCTCCTCTTTGTCGGGTCAGAGGAGGACTGAAGTTGAGGACTCCTGCTTTCATGACCCTCAGAAATTCATATTTTCTGTTTTTCCACACACTAGAATAATACGTAAAATCTGAAAATTAATTTCAATTTGCTCAGTTTTTTGCTTTCCACTCTTGAAAAATAATTACATTTAATTCCGTCCTGTACAAGTTGCGTATGAGCAACAGCAGCCTGACAGGACTATAGGAAGTGCACATGCAGCAGGTTTTAGTGCCTCCATCTATAAACCTTAGAGGTTATTCAAGGTAACAAGGTAAAACACATTAAGGGATCAAGCCTATTGGCCATGTGGTGCCGCGTCTCGACAGGTATGGGTTAGCGGGACCAGAGACGAAGATGTAAAGCTCTAATAGGCACTCAAAGGAGATCAGTGCACTCTGCTGATCTAACGCTGTCATCCAACAACAGCGAGGATGACAGAAAGCCAAGTGATCAAATCAAAATTAAATGAAAAATGGATTACCGTAAGCGGCTTAGGGAGGGGAAAAAAGGGTTGACATATAGCAAAAACTGATCACGAAGATTTAAATAATTGACAGATGTGTATTTCTTCAAATGAATCTGCTTTTCAGGAGGCTGCTACGGCTCCTTTGTCTTGGTTTTGTTTTGTTGCATTTGTGTTGGGGGAGGGGGACTTCTGGGTGGTTACATGATGTCTCTCAGCTGTCAGGAGAGATTATAGGGGTCACCCAAACACACAAGGCACCTAATGGGGATGGGGGATCCAGACTGCTCACCAAATGAGACGTAACCCCACTTACAGCTGGACTGACAAAACGACATCACACCTTCTGCTCGGCTCAACCAGCGCACTCAGAGGGAACAACATATCATCAGTTTTAAACAGGAAGAATAAAACACATCTTTACACTGTGAATCATTTAAGTTTTCCAAAAGAAAAACAAAAACAAGCACTTAAATCCAGGCCACGTCTAATCAAAAATTTGCATCGAGCGTTAACCCTCGAGAGCTTACCATAAGCTCATTACAGGCACAAAAGCTGAACTGAAGAAAAATATTTGTCAAATCTGTCTGAAAGAGCTTTATGCCACTAAAAATCTATTTATTTTGATATTAGGAACATATTAACATTGCAGGGCTAATGCCTAGAAAGACAAAGAAACAAACAGCTGCCATTTGTTTGACACAGACTGGTCACACTGGTTATAGTGGGTTGGATTAGAGCCATATGGTGGAAGCAAACAGTGGTAAATAAAAACATGTTTTCAAAGACGACTAAGCAAATTCCTCCTGTTTGTTGTGTGCACAAAGAATATCCATGATGTTTCTGTAAAGATTTCAATCAAATGACGCGAGTGGGAGGCTTAATTTTTACATTTGAACAGCGTTCAGGGAGGAAAACATTAATAAGGACATTATGAAAGGTCACATGCAGACGTAGCACTGGTCTTACCTGGCGAAAGGAATGTAAGAGATGCTATACCTGAAAACACAAAAATGGGACATAATTACCAATTATGGCTATTGAAGCACTTTATACGACTTTACACTGAAAATTTATTTTGATTATATCAAGTAGCAAATCCATTTTTAAAGAATGTATCTACTAAACTAGTATTAGTTTTATTTTCCTGACACTCTGGAGTCGGCTTGGGATTTTAAAACAAGGATTTAAATCTAAAATGTAACTTTTACAAGTTGTTTAGTCTGAATAAAAAAGGTGTGTCCTTGAAATGTAGTTTGTAGAAACTATTAATAGAAGAAATGTTTATTAAATCATAAAGCATGGCAAAAGTATTCAGACTCTGTTAATTTTGTCACGTTGTGACACTTTACAGCCATAAACTTCAATGCAACTGGTTTGGATTTTAAGTAACACCAATACACAGTAAAGAAAGATTGTAAATGGGAGGGAAATTTCTACTTTTCTTCAAAGTCTATAAAAAAAGGTAGACAAGAGAACAATGACCACTTTGCTGGTCATGTAATTCACAAACCTGGCCTTAAATAGAAGAATGGCAAGAAGACAGAATTTACTTAAATGCTGTGAAGTTCATTAAAAACCATATAGGACAAGCAGAAAACTGGCCAGATGATAAGAATGCTCAATAACTTCAAAATTATTCCCCATTTTACAGCACAAAAAACTCCAATGAAATAAATGTACCTGCAGGTCAATCAAAGAAATCATGAAAAACTTAAGGGTTTAAAATGTGGTGAGTTAAATACCCAAATGTAAAAAAAAATTAGATTTAGCAGTTAGTTAACTTTTTATTCAGTGAACAATGATCAATAAAATGTGTTGTCATATGATTTACTGCAAACACTGCATTAAGTGTTTAACAGACTTCCGTTGCAAATATCATTTGAGCTCTTATTTTAATCTTAAGCTTTTTTTTATTAAACCTCTAAATATGTGAGCAAATGATAAAATAATCAACCAAAGACTGGACAACTTCTTAACCCGTCTTGTTAAGCAAATATTTAACCCGTCACAAAAGAAAAACAAAGCAAGAAATTTTCTTTAGCAGCTCCTTTTGCTGAATTGCTGTCAAGCTTCTGACTCAATCATGAATCAAGTTCAGTTTCCAGCCTGACAAATGGACTTTACCCACTTTTCTGAGGGTCAGTGGTGACTTCTTACAAAACAACCCTCACACAAATGTTTGAGTGTCTGTGTGGGAGTGCACCAAGCATGAGATGTGTGACTTATGGGTGCCATGGCAAAGAATCTGAGGACATAGGTTGACAGGAGATGAAGGTAGGAGACGCAGGTGAAGCATTTTCAGCTGCGATCTACTGGAGTCACACTGATTGTTAAACTATTGGTGGAAAATCTTCTTAATTCCAACATGTCACATGCTTAATGTTCCTAAATCAGACATTGCAGTAAATATAAATCTGCATTGTTGTCAGAAGGTGCTGCTTCTGCTTTTGGGTCTTTTCATCATTTCTGATCAACTTCTGTCACATCACACTGTCCAAACCAGCCAGGATTTATGTAAAAACATAATCAGATTACTTGTTTAGAACCAATTTGACAACATAAAGTTGGCTCCAATATCATAATAACAGTAAAAAAATCATGTCTCAATGTTACAGCTTACATATGAATGCTTCAAAAGAAATTAATAAATAGTTTTAAAGACTCTAATGAACTTTTATTAATTAGAATGACAATCCTAATTGTCCTCCAATGTGGCTAAATTAAAATAACTCTGCAAAGTTACATTTTGTACTCATTCTAGATGTATTTCTCTAAAATTAAAACTTCAGTTTGTCAAAAATAAAAAAATATGTACAAGGAAATCACTTTCTTTGTCCTTATGGCAAAGATCTTACATGTTTGAAAGCATCCATACACTCGCAGAATCAAGTTTCTAGGACATATGTTTTTTTTTTTTTATTTTAAGATAAACTGATTAATACTGACCCTAAAGCTCACAAATTAATGTCTATACTGTCTTTAGAGACAGAAGTGCCAGAAATGATAAACTATATGGATGGACCGATGGAAAATTGCATGGCTTAAACTAAAGTTTTGGACATTTAGTTCAAGTAAATTCAGACAGAGCAAAGTTTGTTCTGATAAGAAACAGCTGAGACCAAAATGAAGGTCAGTCTTACCAGGTCATTGCCAAAAACTGCAGAATACAGAAGATGATTGCCAGTACATTTTTATGCCACTGTAAAACAAATGTATAAAAACAAGTTTTAGTGTAAGAAATAAAGAAATTGTGCGTTTTCTTTGGCTCTGAATCTGCTAAACTCTCACCCAAAACGCGGCACAAAGTGTTAAGACAAGGCAGAGCTGGTGGGAGGAGAATACAAAATATCATCACTTTGTTGTCATATTTACAGGAAAAGTAAACTTCAACACACAAAATCTACTAAGTAGTAAATTAGATGTTATTTGCTACAGCAAATTTTTATCTATTTCAAAAACACCACAAGATAATAACCATAAAACCATTAATAAACTTTGACATACTAAACACAAAATGGATATTATTGTAAGACAGTCTCTAAATACTGAAACACATTCATTTTATGTGATTTTATTAATAAACCGAGGAGCAAAAGTGGATATTTACCAGCATCACAATAGTTGCTATGATTCTTGTTGGTTCAAACATCCTCTTCAGTTGTTTTAATGGTCCCATCAAGAAACAAGTGCTTTAAAAATAATAAAAAGACATGTCTGTTGTTAATAGGAAGCACAATAATACACATTGTGTATAGTTTACTTTTTCATTTGCCAAAATAAGGCAGCACACATTTTGTCCCTCCAGCCCAACAGTTACCATGTGTTGTTTACATATGGCAACTTTCATATCCAAAAAATAAAACATCCACACTAAACTGTGAGCAAAATGTTGCCCTCTATATGACTGCAATCACAAGCACTGGTAATATAATCATATTACATTATGATGGATTAGAAAATGTTAACAATCTGCCAAAAGTGACAGATTGTTGGATCTCTAAGCGAGGCATTGTGATTTATGGGAAGTTGATACTAAATTATACTAAAAATGGCTGCCCCTAAGTTTGTCTTAATTATTAGTCCACGCAAGGTTTACTGGAGCCTCATGCAAACAAGTTATCATGGAATGATCAATAAGACATAGCAAAACAGAGAAAGCAAGCCAAGACTTTATAAACCATATAATCTTTTATGGAGGCTTTTATAAACATATTAATATTTGCAGCTTAAGGGGAATTTCTGTCTAAACATTACTTAATTTTAAATTTATATCTGAAGTTTTTATTTTGTATTTTAAAAAAGGACCCATAATTATATATTAAAAACAAAACAGTAAAAACCGCCTATTTTTCTAGTTCAGCATCAATCAGCATTATCCAGAACACTCTTATTGTTTAGTGTAGCTCTTAAGTCAAGTTTTTGGAAAATTAACAGGGTTACAAAATCCTTTAATTGGTTGGAAAAGTTTTTTTTGTTTTGTTTTTTTGGTGATATCCAAAAGAATGATTAAATTTAAGTCCATGCCTGCAGGAGCTTGTTGCTGGAAAAAAAACATTTTCTCAATTGGACTCAATTCTTCACTGAAAGAGTATAAAAGTGGTTCACATGTTAAAATGTCTCGTACTAATTAAGCACAGCGATAACTCAAATTTCTCTTTCCAAGAGCTAAGAAATTATCATTCTCCACAACACGAGAACTACTCTAAAATAAACTCGCACACACTAACAGTATGACTAACATTAAATGGTTTGTCCAAAGGGTTCAATTTAACTCAACGTGATGCAGTAATTATGGGTTCTGCGCTTCCTGTCCATGGGTGACGCAGTTACAGCCGCTTTGCACATGATGGATGTTTTACGTCAGTGTAGTTAAAGAGACGAAGGCTTTCCCAACTGGTGAGGCACAGCTGAGTGGGTAGCAGGAATCTCTTGGGTGTCACATTTGTTAGATGAGACATTAAGAGCATGCTGACGTAGATTGTGTAGACTGATCAGAAGAGAGGGTCTGCTGCCGTCTTTTCCTGGTTACTCCAACTGTTCCGTGTGACAGAGACACAATGTCCATGCACATGCTGCTCCTGCTTACTGACAGAAAGGAAATTTGTTGTCTCCGAAATCTACAGCTGGTTGTAAAAAGGACTCGGACATTCACCCATAAATGGGGTTTGCTCAGATGAGAGGAAATGTTTTTATTGATCTGTTTTTCTGGACACAAAAGAGGACTTTTATAAAGATATTTTATTAAAAAAGAAAAAATTTAAAGTAGTAGATCTCACCACACCTGCGCAAAGTTTTTTTTTTTTTTTCATCCCAACCATAAATCAAATCTGAGCAAATAAAATGGCTTAACTTGTCATCAAGTGAAACAAGTCATACTTTAAAACTGATATGCTCCATTACCTACAGTGCCTTACCTGGACAAAGCTGCAATATTTCCAAGTGTGTAGAAGACAGCAAAAAGCTTGACGCCGGCACCAGGAAGGAAGAGCAGTGCTGAGCCCTAGGAAAAAAAAAAAACATTAGAAAAATATCTGTGAGCTGCAGAGAATAACATCCTCACACATTCATTAGAGGTCAAAGACAAAAGAACACAGCCATACTGCTGAATCAACAATTAATTATCAGATTATAACTTTTTGTCAACTTTGTAAGAATGTAATCAAGCTAAAAAATGTTTTGTGCATTTTAGTAATTTATAGCAGCATGGCTGGCTCCCTCTAGTGACAGAAAAAAAAATAGGTTTGAATGTGTTTATATTTGTTATGTACATATCTACATCTAATGGACAATTATGCATAATGAAGACTAGGAAAACAGAGCAACTACACACAAACTTAATGTTCAATTTCCTTCAAGGTTTGTGCAGTAAGTTCAGATTTTTATAAATTAAAAATATGTTAAGCTATTATAGCGTTTATCAAAAGCATTCATGCATCTTGAATTTTACCTTACAGTCACCATCTCATGGATTTTACTAAAATTTTCACATTTTTCTTTAGTGTGTGACAAACATTTGTCAGTTCTTATAAATTTATATTTTATAGAGCCACATTTTATTGCAATGACAGCTGCAAAAGTTTTGGGATGTCTTTTGCATTGAGCATGTAGAGAGAAATTTTGGCCTGATCTTCTCAGCATAATCATTAGCCAAGTCAGACCGGATAGACAACCCACATGAATATAAAGTTTCAAGTCAAAATGCCAACGAAATTTGGTTTTGGGCTTTGATTGGGCCATTTTAACATAACTCTGGCTGTAGGTTTCAGGCTGAAAGATGAGCAGTGCCCACTATTTAGCAGCATCCATGCTTCCATCAGCTATGACTAGCCTTGTTTCTCTGCTGAAGAAAAAACAGAGAAACAATTCTAGCAGTCAGGGTGAAGTGAAAACTAACATTAGTTTTCTGTCACATACAGCATGTAGGTCAAACAGTAAAAAGTTGGTCTATCTAACCAAAGCACCTTTGAATTTGCGATAGACATAGCTTGTGGAAAACTGCAAACATGGTTTGGGTTAGCTCTATTTATTAACTATATCACTAAGGTATCTGTTAATTTATATTTTATTTAGTGGTATCAGAGTAAAGAGGATTGAACATAAAACAAAGTGTTAAAGTATGAGAAAAACTATGTACTAACTTGTATTCGTCTGTCATAAAAACCATGGAAGCTTGCAGTTTCAACAAAACAGCGTGTGAATTATCACTATTCAGTGTGTGATACCAGACTTCCTCTACTTTGAAACATATGCACCAAATTATTATGTCAAGGTATCTTAAGTATTAGTTTATGGTGTGACAAGCTCCAATACAATGATTAGTAAACAATTGCCATTTTATCTGATTTCAGTTTGAAGTGAAAAAAAAAGAACAGTGAAAAAAAAAGAACAGGAACTTGAAGATTGTGTGCATTCTGTGTTTCCTCTCAGAGCTGCAGAGACACTCACGAGTATGGAGCACAGGATGCCTCCAGCAAAGCATATGACAAACCATTTCACTCTGGTGCTGAAGCTGAGAGAGCTGGCATCAAGAACCTGGTGAGAACAATGGGAGGATGTCACAAGAGTAATGACCTACAGTGAGACCCGCAGGCTTTGCACGAATATTGAGTCATGTTGGCTGGAGCCAAGCATTTTTACAGCTACATAGCACACAGCGGCGCTGTTTTTCAATAAAAGTCAGAGCAAAAATTCATGAGCGAAAGTACCAGGTTGTAAAGTAAAACTTTAGCTGGATCAAAGAGAAACTAAGCAGCAACTTACCTTGTATCCTCTTAAATGTGAAAGCATGCAAAAGTGTAAACAAAACAATTAGCATTTAGAGCTAACAAGAACATGGAAGCTAATTTGAAAGCAACATGACTTAAAAATAATGTGGGACATACGTATAACTAACGACTAAAAAGAGATCATTAGCTGTTAAATTCATAAACCTCAAACAATAAGAAAACTAAAATATAAGGAATGCAGTGTTGATAACGCAAATTTAAATGTGCTGTCTGAACGGAGTTAGCATTAGCAGCTGACCTGTGCAGTTAGCCCGAGTTCTTCGTTATCCTCCCGGCCGCTCAACACACGTCGAAGCTTATCCATCGCTAAAACTCAAATATGTAAACCTTTTAGGAGAAATATTCACGTCCTTATGTCCAAACTAAACACTGTCCGTCGGTAGGTAATGACTACTATCGCTGACATCAGTAGCATTACACACTTCCTGGCTTCCTGAACGTCTCCTCAACTAGCTGACCGGGGATCAGTTTAAAGACAGTCATTATGAGACCCATTTCCTCTAAGAGGTGTTTTGCTAACAGACCCCGGACCAGATGTTTACAGCAACTCTACACTTCCTCAGAGCTGTTGCTGCTTCTTTTTTATTGTGGTGGGAAGAATAACGGTGTTGAGAAACTTTCTGAAGATGAATTAGCGAGAGTTTTTTTTTTTTTTTTTTGCGTTTTGTCGAAAACTGTTTAGCTAATGTAGTGACATTTTGTTGAACCTGCTGTTAAAAAAAACTCCCATTGTCACATACTACAAAGAATGCAAGGAAAAGTCACATTTACATGTTAAAAGTATTTAACATGTAAAAGTTTAACTTTTCACTAAAATATATGCTAGTTGACAAAACTGTGTTCTCCTTTTCCATTGTCGCCATCTACTGGGGATATTACGGAAATACAGCACCAACGACGGATAAGATTCTTCTTCTATGGTGTTTACTGACAGTTTACAGATTTAGTGTATTACCGCCATCAACTGGCAGTTTGGCACGTGCACTCTCGGACAAGGCCTCCAACATGCACACTCGTGGTTCATTCAGGGGCACATGGGAAATCATATAACCCCGACCCTGTTTTCTTGTAAGCCCACTGAGTTAATAAAGTGAAAACAAAAATGAACAATTCTTGCTTGGGGAGCAAAATGGAATGTAGAGGAGCTTTAATGGAATGCAAATTTAATATAGAAACTGTCATTCAAAAGACAAATGAGTCAAATGTCCAAGCAGTCAAACTGAGTAAAATGTTAAGTTACACAGTGAAAACAAACCTAGAATTTTTGTTCACATTTTCTCTCTCTCCCTCCTTTGCCTGTCTTTCTCATTGCTTTTCTCTCTCTCTCTTTCTTTCTCTAATACATTCAGAGATTTTTGCTTTTATTTTAGTTTTTTCTGAACATATTTTTTGTCAGCATAACTTCTTATAGTGCACATTGCTTTATCAGTCTAGTGCTTCTAAAATTTCAGGTATTTAAGTAATTTTGTTAAATTTTAAATTTTGAAAATTGTTCCTGCAGAATGGAAGTTTGTAACAATGATGTCACTGAAGAGATGATACTCCAATGATGTCATATGTCATAGTGATGTCACAGAGTTTTCTTCAGTTCTGAGCCACTTGAATAAACAGAATTTCACTTTACTTCATTCTACTTTGGATCTGGTGACCTGTACACCCTGAACTGGGACCGGTCTGTGAGTTGAATTTCTTGGATTGATTATATTAGACATTTTTGGATTTCACTTAGACCTGCTTTTTGTGTCAAAAACCTTGAGATTTAGATCACTGTGAAATAGCTTCACCCTTACTGAGAAAGAAAATGGAAAGAGCTATTGGAATCCTCCCATCATTTTGTTGGGACACAGTCCAGAGAATCTCCCGAGCACATAACAAGGTAGCAGAAAATACCAGAAAAGGTTTAACTCGTCTGCGACCAAATATTAAAACTTTACAGGAAACACGTGCTGCACAAAAAGAAAAGAGTGAAGCACTGAGACAAGAAAAGGAGCAGCAATTGGAGCAGATTGCTGCGGAAGAAAGGCAGTTAAAAGAACAGGAAAGAAACGCCTTTCTCGAACAGAGCAGATACACGATTCTGCTACGAGACAAAAGCGTGGAGAATTTAAACAGAATACTCACTGATCAAAGGATAACCAAAGCAAACCAGTTGTCGGCTGCAAATCAGAGAGAGAAGTACATAGCTGCACGAAAACTTGCAAAAGACATTGGGGACATGAATCCTTGGTACTTCAAAGCTGACGAACGCATTGTGAATGAAGAAGAGCTTCGGAAGAAGAACCTACACGCTGATGCCGAAGTTTTCAATGAGATGGTACGCAAAAAGAAACAACTTAAGGCAGAGCGACTGGAACTTGAAAAAGAGGATAAAAGGAGAGTTATGCTCCAAGATGCAAATGCAAACCAAAAGGAAAAGGAGGAAGCAGAGAAACGGAAGGAAGAGGTAATTAAATTAATCAATGAAAATACTATAAAGCCCAAACTCTCTAAAACAGAGCAGGTGGCTCAAGCCAGGAAGGAACAGCATTTCAAAGATGAGGAAAGTTTTCTCAGCAAAACAAAACAAGGAAAGGCTGAGAAATTAAAGAAGTATCAGATGAAGATACAAATTGCGTATGACCTTCTGGCGAAAGTAGGAAATGAGGAAGCCTCCAAATTAGCTTCAACAGAGAAAGAAATGACCAAAGTCATTGGACTACGGAGGATCAAAGAAAAAGAGAAAGCAGACAAAGAAAATGAGAAACGGGCTGCAATGGAAAAATCAATTCTGGAAGCAAATAATGAGAGAGTAAGAGAGAAATTGGAGGCAAAGCGGATAGAGAATGAGAAGAACAAGAAGATGTTGGAAAATTTGATGGAGGCAGACAGGTTGTATGCAACTGAAATGGAACAAAAGAATCAACAAAGACGACAAGATATTCTTGAATATTCCAATTTCAACTCCGAAACGGCGGCAAATAAGCGTGCCTCCCAGATGGAGAAGAGAAAAATAGAGACTGAAGAACTGCGAAGGATGCTTCTGGACACTACACCAGACCCAGTTAAGCAGTACATAAGGTCTGAAATGCAGAAGGCTGAAGAGGAGGGGCTGGATATGCCATTCATAAAAAAGAAAATATCAAAGGAAAAGCCAGCTTGCTCGGGGAGTGTCAAAACACATTCCAAGGTTTTCGATCATTGTTCAGATGTGACATATATAAAATTGTCACGGGCAGAGGTGCCTAAAAATAAACCTCATTTCCTGCCACCTTTATCTTCTCCTCCAAAAGTGGAGAAACCGTCTCCCCTCGATTTACAAAAGCCTCTCAAAGTTCCACCAATTGAGCAACTTAAATTGAAGCAAAAATCTGAAGCTTAGATGTGGACTTGCCATATGGTCATCACACAAAGACACTACAGTAAATTTAGCAACAAAATATTAGAGTACACAAAAAAAATCTAAAAAACAAAACAAATTAAAAAAAAAAGTGCAAAAGAGAAAAAAAAGAGACCATTTTCCCAATACATCTCATTCTGACTGCTCCATTTAAAACACACTTGATTCTTTTAAAAAGCCACAATACAACACACTCAGAAACTCACAGGAATTTCTTGGGTTTAAATCCAGAGTCTTTCTGCGTGGAGTCTGATCTCCACTGACATGAAGATTCTCTCCGGGTGCTCCGGCTTCCTCTCACAGTCCAAAAGAACAACATTTAATTGGTTATTTTAAATTTCTAGATTATAGATTATTATAATGAGATTCTAGTTCATTATAATGATTTTCTAGATCATTATAATGAGATTCTAGTTCATTATAATAAGATTCTAGTTCATTATAATGAGATTCTAGTTCATTATAATGAGATTCTAGATCATTATAATGAGATTCTAGATCATTATAATGAGATTCTAGATCATTATAATGAGATTCTATCATTATAATGAGATTCTAGTTCATTATAATGATTTTCTAGATTATTATAATGACATTCTAGATCATTATAATGAGATTATAGTTCATTATAATGAGATTCTAGTTCATTATAATGAGATTCTAGATCATTATAATGAGATTCTAGTTCATTATAATGAGATTCTATCATTATAATGAGATTCTAGTTCATTATAATGATTTTCTAGATCATTATAATGAGATTCTAGTTCATTATAATGAGATTCTAGACCATTATTATGAGATTCTAGATCATTATAATGAGATTTTATCATTATAATGAGATTCTAGTTCATTAAAATGAGATTCTAGTTCATTACAATGATTTTCTAGATCATTATAATGAGATTCTAGTTCATTATAATGAGATTCTAGTTCATTATAATGAGATTCTAGATCATTATAATGAGATTTTATCATTATAATGAGATTCTAGTTCATTAAAATGAGAATCTAGTTCATTATAGTGCGTTAATCATATCAGGATTTATATAAGACAGCGTTCTTCTATAATGAGATGATGTAATGAGCTACCATTATCTCATTATCTATTATAATGAGATGCTATTATATTGAGCATAAATGCACTGAATATTGATTCAATGATTAAATTTGATTAAATGAGGTTTTACTACATTGGGAAACCTTTTTGTATCTGTTGCTCAGACCACACTATTTTCATTTAAATATTCTATCTTTTCAGAAAGAATGGAATCTTTTCTTCAAATGTAATATTTGTCAAAACATCTTTTGCGTCAAAGTTGAATAAAGTGAATAACAAAGGATTTTGAGGTCACGCTGTCCTTCTTAGTAACTAGATTAGGCTGGTTGTTTGTTTGTGAATATGCCTGCATTTCAAAACAAGAAGAATAATTTTTCTGTGGCTCTAAAAATTCTCCAAAATGCTGCATATTTCTTCAGACACAAGCTGCCCCAGATTTTCAATGAAGTGCAAACTTTTCTGAATCTCAATCAATCTAACTCATTCAAAGGATTTCATTTGTGCAAAAATGACAGGTCGATGCATCAAAGAGCCACGCGTAATCTTATAATGCCGTGCATTACTGTAAAAACAGTAACAGCTATACAGTTTTGATGACTCCTGGTTAGTTCAGGTGGCTCTGAACCCCCTTTGCGCTGTCACGATGATGCGCTTCAACAGCAGCAAGCGCAATTATCTCCATGCGCGCTGAGCGGTGAGTGGACATCCCGCCTTCTGGGTGTTCGGACGTTTCACAGACGCCACAGAGATGCGGACGCCTCTCCTAGTACTCTTGCTCGCCTCGTTCTTTTATGAATGCACAAGTTTCAGTTGCCCGAGGATCTGCCGATGTTCCTCCGAGACGATAAGATGCAAGCTCACAGCAGACGCGGGAAAGGACCAGCGGAACAAAAGACTGTAAGTACAGACTGTCTTATGGAGTCAAATATAAACACGTGCATGTGTCCGCATATAATACAATCATATGTTAAGGCGCATATGATCATATAAAACTACTTTCCAGATCAGTCTGCGCGTAATTACGCACAAAATGTTTAATTTTGAACCAAACATCATTTACGTGATTTGTTATCAGTTTGATCAGTTTTCAAATAAATAATTTTACTTGATAAATTTTTTTTTCTTTGTACAAAACTGCCAGAATAATGTGTGAATATTGCCATGTTTAGCAACGTATTCTTGTAGAATCCTTCGAATTAAATACAAAGCTGTTCCCAGTTTGGAAAAAAAAAATGTATACATATATATTCTTTATTATTTATAAAAATATGTTTTTGTCTTACATTTATACATTACATATACTGCCATTGGCCAACATAATGAGCACACAGATGATATCTTACTGTGTAAACAATAGTCTTAACTTTGTTCTAGAAGACTTTATAGCAACTGTGCAGCTGCCTCCCACACATTGTTTATGTTCATAATAAGAACAATTTGGATTTAAATAACAGCTGAATAAAAACATATGCACAGACCTTGATGACCGCTTCAGTCAACAAGAAGAGCCTCAATGTGCTTTGAACTTAATTACTTCTGAACAAGTTGGCCTTACAATGTCATATGCATACAGCATCCTCTCCTCCTCTGTCTGAGCTCACCCGACAAGCATACCAGACTGTGACGAACCTTGAAGGTGGGGAGTCTTGACCCCTGCTTTTATAAATCATAGGACCTTGAATCTGAGCTGATAAGTGCCTGCACACCAAGGCTGTCAGTTTCATAATTGGATCAGATGCCAAAAACACTCCTAAAGCACACACACATACACACATACAGAAACTTTTATTCTTGGCTAATTAGTTGTTGCCAGAAGGAAATGATGAGACAAGAAACAAATTTGTAGAATGATGAAAGCAGCAATGGGATTCACAACATTGGATTTTCTAAGTCCACACTGTCAGATTTAAAATAGCTTATTCAAATCAAAACTGTTTTATTTATATCAACTGGAAATAAAATTTTGTAACTCATATCCACAAAGCGCCTTTGTGGATGGAGATACTGTGGGCATAGAGGCTCTGTGGGAGCAGTCAGTCTTACAACAAACCTGTAGACGCCTCTGACTGAAGACTGTTACTGTATTATCATACAGTAACATCTCATGACTATCATGACATGCTAACAGTTCGATATCGGGGCAGCAGAGAAGATATTCCACAGTAATATGTCCTGGATAACATCATCAGTTGTTGGCAAGCACTGCTAATCCACCTCATTTGCTTTTGCTGCTCCCTTTTAAATCCTATCCGGGTCATAAGGTTAGAAAACTGGGCGGTGTTTAGAGTTTAAGATCGCACAGTTTAAGAGCTTAAGATCATGATAATTTTTTCCTGGAAAAACAAAATTTTTACAGTACTGTAAATTATTTAAACGGCCAAAATTAAAAAAAGGTTCACATCCTTTATGATTCTCTACATACCTATTACACAGAGTCAAAACTGATCATTTTATTTACAAAATAAAATTCTGTTATTTTCTAAATAAAAGGATTGTATGCTTTTATTTACTGAAATTTTATTGACATTTAATCAAGGTGATTTGTCGGTTTAATGGTCACTGTATCATAAGCTAATGGCCATCTTCCATCTCTTGTAGGTTTCTTTATCATCTTTCTTTTAAAACTATATCAAGCCATTCTTTTGAGGATTTGAGAGAAGTTCAGAGGATGTATGTATCTGTCTTTTTTTGTGCACCAACAATAATCAGACAAATTTCAAATGCGAACTGTATATTTTTAAAAATTTGGTGGGAAAGTGCTGCATTGATAATTATGCATTATGTTTTTAGTTTTACATTTCTGCTGTTTTTGTTTTAGAATAAGTTGTCCTCCAGTTTTAGAGATCATGTTTAGTTTGCACTGAACAACTATGGGCATACTGATTTAAACTAATATCTTAATCTTGCTGTGTTTGTGTTATTTGCAGTGCGATTGCTCAAAGTGTGACCCTGGAAACCATTGAAGCGTTAGCATTTAACAATCTTCTCAACCTTTCTGAGATGTAAGTCTTGTCTTTGTGATGCTGTGAATGAATTTCTGTCCTGATCACTGCAGTGCATCTCAGTTGCTCGTCTTTTTCCTCATGACCAAACAGTTCAATTCAAAATGCAAGGAGTCTGAAGCACATTGACAGAAGAGCCTTCAACAACCTACCAAATCTTCGCCTCTTGTAAGACAACTTGAACTTAAATGCACCACTGTTCAGGTTTAAAATTAAACCTAAATAAGTATCATTTCATTTACTTGTACATTGTGAACACACTCATCCATTTGACTTTAACGTGTCACATTGCAATCACAAACTTCAGTACGTTTTATTAGCAATTTAATTAACACAAATTGGTGGATAAGTTTAAGCATCTTTGAGGTATAGATTGAAAAGGGTGCTTCAGTCCTTTAAAACCAAAACCACAGTGGTGGCAGAATCATGATGTAGGGATGCATTTCTTCAGGAAAATTTGAGAAGATGTTGGAGTTATAAACATTTCAATTGTGGAAGAAAATGTGGGGAAGAGATTTACAAACATGACTTCCATTGGACCCAGATTCAGTCTCAGTTGGGCTGGAAACAATGCCACACTCCTCACATTTTCCTTTGTAGAACATTTTGAAATCTATGCATCCCTTTCCTTAAACTCAATAACAATATAGGTATCTCAAACAAAACCCACTTTGAGTTTCCTTCAGTATAAATAGTTTTGCAAAATGTACTACACATGCTATGAAAAAGATGGCATTACAAGACATTTTTAGGTGTTTGGCTTCACAAAAAAGTCTAAAATCATTACAGAAACATTATGTCTTCTTTATCACTGTAGGAGCATCTTGAACACTGGAATAACCCTCTTCCCTGATGTTACATCAATCACTTCTTTCAAAGCAGACTTTATTCTGTAAGTCAGAGTAACAAGAAAATCAAGCATAACAATGATTTGTTAACCTCGTGCGAAATACAGAGCTACGTTCTGGTAGTGCCTGTAATGATACAGAATGTTCCAGTCTGAACTTTGGTTCTGTTGCAGGGAAATATGCGACAACATTCATCTGCTTGAAGTGCCTCCAAACGCTTTCACTGGAATGACTGAGGGTTATGCTACATTGTAAGTGTGCCTCTCCATTCATGATCGCTTAAAGAAAATCTTTTTTTTTCTAACATACGCTGTTTATTACAGGAATCTCTATAACAACGGTATCAGAGGAATACACAACCATGCCTTCAATGGGACAAAGATAGACAAGCTGTATTCGATAAACTCCTACTTTATCATCTTTTTAAGGAATTTCTGCTCAGGATGTGAGAAATGTGCTCATTGGCCCTTTTCCATGTCTTGTCTAGGGTGCTGAAGAATAATCGAAACCTTGAAATGATCCACAGAGATGCTTTCCAAGGAGCCACTGGTCCGGAGGTCTTGTAAGTTATACTTAGCATTTTTTTAAAGGTGACCTATTATGCTTCTTTGAAGAAGTTAGGATAGGTCTATGGGCTATACAAAGCATGTTCACTACATTTTTTTTGCACAAAATCCTTCTTAGATAATGAGATTTTATTTTGATCAGTTTCACCATTGTGCAATTCCTTCACAATCAGCTGTTTTAGGGTGTCTTGTCACTTTAAATCTAAACAAGCTGCTGTTGGCCACGCCTCCTAACTCAATGTTTACGATCATAAATTTTAAAATGGTCAATTATAGAACAACATATCTTTGAAAAGCATAAGTTGATCCTCCTGCACAACCAAGAAGAATGCAGCAAGTAGTTTCTGGATGGAAAGTCAACAACAAAACGCTTGTTTTTTTTCAGCAGCCGTGCAGCAATAAAAGCGCTGACCAAACGTGCTGCAGCTCCATTTGGGTTGCTAGGTCCAGGCAGTGACTGCTGATTTATGAAGCTACATTCTGGAGGTTTTCAAAAAACTTAACATACAACTGAGTGTTTTTTTGTTTGTTTGTTTGTTTGTTTGTTTGTTTTTTAAAAGAAAAACAAAAAACACTTGGGATGTTTTTCGAAGCAATAGAAGTACAAAAATGTGCAAAATGTACATTTTAGATAACAGGTCCCCTGTAACTCAGGTGACGTAAGAAGAGAAACATTACTCACACTCACTCTTCACATAACAAACCATTAACCACTAGGTTTATCACTAGGCTGTTTTATGAGTCATGACCCACTTATCAAGTGCTGGTAGCAGGAGCTTGCTGACTGCTGCTGTGAACTTTTACAAGCCAGTTTTCTCGTGCAAAGGTCCAAAATAAAACGTTGCTCATGTGACACTGTTCTCACAGGGATGTTTCTGCAACAGCTCTCACAAGGTTACCTGCTCACGGACTGGAGTCGGTTCTGGTGCTGTTCGCTCAGTCAGCGTACGATTTGAAAAGGTTGCCTCCCCTGAAGGGAATAGGCAGCCTCCGAGAGGCCCATCTCACCTACAATAGCCACTGTTGTGCCCTTCTGAGCTGGAGCCCTCACAGGTGACCTACTCTGTGAATTGTGAAAGGATAAAGTGCCCTGCAAATGTATCCATACCTGTCATATCTTTATGTACAGAGCTGTTGCCCAAAAAAGGACTTTCTGTAAATTGGGCTGAATAGAAATCCAGGCCACACTTTTCAGATAGTGTGCTAACTTGTTAAAGTCTCTCACATAAAATCTCACTAACATTTGTTGATATTTCTCTTTTGGCTTTAACATAAAGAGTGGAACACTTCACTGAGTTGGAATACTTTTGCAAGAAATAAATGTTTTCTTTCTTTTGTCCCTAATCATAAAAATCGATTTATTAAAGTTAGAATCCTCAGTATGGTAAAAGCAAATTAAAACAACAGAGCAGCTTTTGATTCTCATCTTCTTTCCCACAGTTATGAACTCTATGATCATACTTATAAAAGGCCTAATTACAGTATGAATGTTTAGACATATGAACAACTATTGCAAAATAGAAAAAAAATATATCTCAAATAATCTTTTCTGCTTTGCACATTTTGAAATTTGGTGGAGTTTTTTACACTCTTAGCTATTCAGTTCAGAACAAGAAGTATGTAAAATGAGATTATAGATTTCTTTTGTTTTTCTAGAGACTTCTCAGCTACAGCTCCATGGGATAATTTTTCTACATCTTGTAAAGAAGGGAATCCATCAACAAGGTGAGATATTTTTCTGCTCATTCTGAACTCATAGCATTTTTTAACTCATAGTTTCTATGTATTAGTTCTGAAAGTCATCACCTTTCTGAAAATTCAGTTTAAAGGAATGGTTTGGATTCTTTCAAGTGATGTTCTGTGAAACTTAAATCAGTAATAATTTCTTTATCTGTAACAGAAGCTCATATTGCCGCAAGCTTTTAAGAAGCGCTGCTTTTTGCTCATGTTAGCAAATTCAGCCACTCACACGGCCAATGTTCAGATCTATGTGTGTCAGTGGGCATTAAACTTCTACACTTAACCTCGCAAAACAATATATAAACCATCACAATATAGATATAAAAATATAACTACTGGCAAACAGATACTTTTAAATGGACAATAATAGCAGGTAAAAATGGATTAAATCTGTTGGCTCTGCAGCTTTTTAAAGCAAACCTGTATCCTGATGTTAAAAGGATACAAGTTTTATCCTTTTAACTGAGAAAAGGTTAGATTCAGGTGACATTGCCTGAGCTTTTGTTAGGAACCTGCTTTGGTGGAGAGAGCCTGACAACGAGGTTTATTATTTAATAGTTATTTTGCATCGCATATATTTCATTAAACCAGGGTTAAACATAGTGCTGTAAGATGTTTGCTGTGGGCAGAGAAACTACAGTGGACCCTTGGTCTTTGCTGAGATTTACAGACAGATGTAAAGTGTTGAAATACGTGAATAACTGAGACCCCCTCTAAAAACAATTACTGTTACATATTTTAACCTTAAAACGCATTAATACTCACAGTGAAAAGTGTGTATTAAGGCATACAGCTAATATTTACAGTCCTTCTTATTTCCACTCTGTGGAGTACAATCAGTCAGCAAAAAGGAAATTGAATGGTGCTTCTATGGAAGATTTGGCTGCTTTGAAAACAAGCAGCATTGCAGATCGGTATTTCAGCTTTCCAAGCTGCATTTTTTGGGGGAATATTTTTAGGCACTATGGTATATGAAAAAAACTGTGAACAGGCAAATTTTCCATGAATAATACAGAGAAAAACAGAGTCTAGAGTCTTTATTATTTTGTCTTGTCTTCTTGAGCCTCTTACAGATTTCAGAGGGTTATCGGAGACACAGGCGACACACCTCCGCTTGGGGGCTGGGCGTTTTATTCTGAATCTGACCTACAAGACACCGCCTTCCAAGATGTGGATGACCTCTATTCTCAGCGTTTGGACTTCTGCCGCTCAATCATCTGCACGCCTGAAGAGGATGCCTTCAATCCCTGCGAGGACCTTGCCGGGTTCAGTTTTCTCAGAGTTGCTATTTGGTTCATCAACATACTCGCTATCACAGGCAACCTGATGGTGCTGCTGGTTTTCTTTACCTGCCGAAATAAGCTAACTGTGCCTCGCTTCCTCATGTGCCACCTGGCCTTTGCTGACCTCTGCATCGGTGTCTATCTTCTGGTGATTGCTACGGTAGACCTGAGGACTCGTGGTCATTACAGTCAACACGCCATCGAGTGGCAAACCGGGCCTGGCTGTAAAGCTGCAGGCTTCCTGTCTGTGTTTGGCGGTGAGCTGTCAGTCTACACGCTGTCCACCATCACCTTGGAGCGCTGGCACACCATCACCAACGCTCTGCATGTAAAGCGCCATCTGGTCCTGACAAAGGCTGCAGGTATAATGGCAGTGGGTTGGTTTCTGTGTTTGGGGATGGGGATGCTGCCCCTGGTTGGCGTCAGCAGCTACACCAAAGTCAGCATGTGCTTACCCATGGACATAGAAACCCCTCTAGCGCAGATTTTCATCATCATCATCCTGCTCCTCAATGTGGGGGCCTTCATCATCGTGTGTGTTTGCTATGTGCTTATTTACTTGGCTGTGAAGAACCCAGAGGTCCCTGAAAGAAGCGCGGACACCAGGATAGCAAAACGAATGGCAGTACTCATCTTCACCGACTTCCTCTGCATGGCACCCATCTCCTTCTTTGCTATTTCTGCTGCCTTTAAGTTACCTCTCATTACCGTCACCAATTCCAAGATTCTGTTGGTTCTCTTCTTCCCCATCAACTCGTGCGCCAACCCCTTCCTGTATGCTATTTTCACCAAGGCCTTCAGAAGCGACGCCTATCAGCTCATGAACGCAATGGGATGCCGTAAAAGCAATGCCAACATTTGTCAATGGAAGGCCTGCTGCTCTGAAAATGCAATAAATAGCAAATTGAGATCCAATAATAAAGAAGCGCAGACTGGAATGAACATGGCTCCCATATCACATCAGGATCTGCAACCTAAGGATGAGCAGGAGATAACCTGAAGACAGAAAGGGACAAGAATATCGGGACATGAATGACCACTGGGGGTTGGGAAATGTTTTGTTTTTAAAGGGATTCCTTATTTGATACTCCACTGTTAAAGACTTACTATTTTTATAGGTTACTATTTAAAACATGAATGTAATCCTCTGATACATGATGGATTTCTTCTCTGTCAGATCAAATACCATGCAAGTTTACAATGAAATACTAGAAGTTCATTATTCATGAACCTTCTTGTTTATCAGATCTACAATGCCTTGCAAAGGAGATTTGCTAATTTTGTCATGGTTAGACTTAGAACTCAAATGCATTGACTGGATGAGCTGCAGAAATCCACAGTAAAAGCTTTCCACAGAAAGTGGGGGATTCACATGAGGAAGAAGATGCTCTGATGATATGAGACCAAAACTGATCTTACTGTGAAACAACGTGGTGGCCCTTTTGAAAAAAAAAAACTTTTCCAAGTACTACGATGGTACTTTTACTTGAGTTTTATTATGAAGTATTGCTACTCTTACCTGAGTACAATTTCTGGATACTGTATAGCAGAAATCTCACTTTTTGTTTAAATCAAAAAATCACCAGACACTGGCACACATCTGCAGTGTTTGTTAAAGTTCTATAAGTTTTATATAGAAAGAAACTGATTTGGAAAAATGTTTATTTTCCCTGATTTTTGTTATTTTGCATGTTATTTATATGGATTATTTTCATTCTGATCTTTGAAATAGCAAAATTTCCACATGACTTTGTATTTTGGTGATATAATTTTTCAATATTAAAAGATTGATGTTTTGATTACTCCGTACTTGAGTAGCCTGTTTTTTGTTTGTTTGTTTGTTTTACCAATTACAGGTAATAGGTAAAACTTGGTTTTCTTTGACAGAAAGTTGGTCAGAGATGATGGGAAGATGGATGAAGCTAAATACAGAACCATCCTGGACAAAAACCTTCCAGCAGAAAAAAAAACAACTATAAACATCCAGCTGGAGATACAATGATACAATTTAAATCAAAGTATTCATGTGATAAAGTCCTAGTTAAAGTCCAGACCTACATGCCATTGAGAGCAAGTGGCAAGCTCTAAAAAGAAACGTCTTCAGGCATTCCTTATGTGGTTTGACTCTGCTGAAGCCATTTGGAAAGTTTCTTGAACAAAATGTGATTCTCTAAATTACTGACTCAGGGGAGCTAAATGCAAATGTGCCCCGCTCATATTAAGGTTTTAATGTGACAATAATTACGAAAATAAAAATTGATTTATGGAGGGAAATCACCACCTCTTCTTTCCAAAATTAGTTTTAGACGCAAATAATAACTTTTAGGGGAAACAATGACATTGTTTTCTTCTAAAAAATAAAGCTAACGATGGATTATTACATATTCAAAACTTAAAATGACATTTATTTGTAAAATGTGGTGTGTTTTGTTTTGGCTGTTCTTTCGACTAAAATACATTTAATGTCAGCAACTTATAAGAATCGGATGAAGGTCCATAAATATCTCTGACATCGAGGGACATTTAAACATTTAAATGCGGGGAGACAGAAAAACCGAGGTTGTCATCTGAAAGTGGCCACATGGTGGAGCAGTTGAGCGCAGGGTTTTATTGGCTTTAATGAATTCGGAAACTGTCGGGTGATAGTGTATCAGCAACAAAGGAGCCAAAGTTGAAATTAAGTATAAACTAAAGCTTTTGACGGACAAAACGATGGAGTCTGCGGAGCTTCACTGTGTTTAGTCGCAACTGGGTTCAGCGGCTCCTCAGTCCCGCCTTTCTGGGCCACATCTGCGGTGACGTCCCAAACTCTGAACTTTTCTCTCCAGCTATGCAACCCTTCAGTCAACAGCTCCACTCAGTCCGCGTTGAACCCCCTCCTCTGGGGGATGTTGTCCTTTCTCGGAGCTGAACCAACGCAGTCTGCGTGTGTTTGACAACTTTTGTTGTCGCTGGGCTACCAAAATATTGTTGACTGAAAAGATGTTAAACTCTGGCTGGCTTGTTGTTGTTCTCCTGGTGAGCGCAGCCTGTCTTCTGCGGAGCTCTCTCAGCGGTAAGTTGTTTGTTTTCTTTGGGGGGAAAATACGTTTTCCCGAGCTACTGCTTGGAGCCTGAAGTAGCCGTAGAGGTAATCTATTATTGATTTAACGCAAGAATAGATTACCTTCGCAGGACAATGCTGCTCAGGTGCGATTAAATCCAGATTTTAATGGGTATATAAAGCATTTAAGCCTCAATTGATTAGATTAGTCTGGGTTTGGAGGCTGCCTGACACCGTTTGTACAAGTTAGTGTAGTACAAAGTGCATTGTCAGTTTCTGATAAGACATAAACTGTTGTAGATTAGCAAATCACCTTTTGGATTTTACAAGCTATTTTACAATACCATGTATTTACTTAGGAAAGCAGTGAAGCTTTTTACTTTTAGTCACATCACAAACTTTAACATACTTTGTTGGGATTTTATGTGTACTTCATAATTGCAAAGATGAGGGGGAAATTGCATATTTCTACAAATAAAATAATGACACTGCATATTTTGCCCATTCTTTAAGCACAGGCATTTTGGATGCAGAGTGAATGTGAACCTGTTGGATCTAAGTCTGAACTTTGACTGGGCCACTCTAACACATGAAAGCTTTGACAAAAGCCATTCATTCTCTTTCTGGTTGCGTGTTCAGTGTCAAGCTCCATCCATTTGTCACATTTATGTCTTACTCAGCATCACCACATCATGATGCTGCTTTCACCGTATTTCACTATGGGCATGTTATTTAGGGTGCCATCTTGGACACCTGCCACACAGCGTTTTGAATGGAAGACTGAAAGTAAATATTTGATCTGATCAGAATATCGTGTTCCATGTTTTCTCCACTCCACACATGGCGTTTTACAAACTGCAGATGAGACTTCACACAATAAATGTTTTTTCTTTCCGCTGTTTTGTAAAGTCTGGATTTATTATGATCCCAACCAGTAATTGTTCAGAGGGCTAAAGATTTTAATTGGTAAAAATATTTGATAACCGTCTATAATTGTTATTTCACTTTACAATCATGAGCTGCTTTGTGCTGAACTGCCACAGAAAGTCAGTGTTTTTGGCTGGAATGTGATCAAATTTTGGGAGTGTAAATACACCACATTTAAAATACGGGTGGGAATAAAAAAGAACAAGATTAAAATAAGAGAAGAAAATAGAAATATACGTTTTATAGAATTAAAGTGTTTTAGCAACTATAAAGACAAAAGAAAAACAACGATATTATATTAGTACAATAAGATTTTGTTATAAAATGTACACCACAGCAAAGCAGCATTTTTCTCCTGTCTTTAGCTAATCTTGCGTGGTTCAGAGCATCCTAACATCTCGTCCTCTGTGCACAGTTCAACAGTCCAACGTTCGCAGACCAACTAGGAGCTCAGAGGCTGTTATCATTCCACGCCATGTTTCTCCAGTTCACCTGAGCAAAGATCAGCTCAGACGGCTGCAGTTCAAGCCCACCATCCACTCCATCGACCTGTCAGAGGGCCACCAGGCTAAGTTCAACTGCTCCATCGACATCCCCGATACGAGACTGGACCCCTCCATCATCTGGAAGAAGAACAACAAGGACCTGTCTGCTGACGAGCACATGGCGATCAACGAGCTCCAGACCGCCACAGATGGAGTCACAACTCTCATCTCCACTGTCATGTATGTTGCACTCTGTGATGAAAGACGAAAATAATGGATCACAAGACAAGTAAGGAGATTAATATGTCACTATGTGCTGTGTTACAGCATTAAAAAAGTACAGAGGGTGGACGCAGGCGAGTACCACTGCGCACTGAGCATCAACAATGAGACAAGGAGGTCTCAGTCCATCGTTCTCGGGGTGGAAGGTGGGTTTTAATAAGATTGTAACAACTTACGCTTCTGTGTTTTATTTCAAGTGTACAAATATATCAACACAAAGATGTGTTTTATGATTTTATATTTTTGCACCCCTCTCCCCCACTGCAGGTCTGCCAGGATTTATTCACGAACCAGAGGACCTGAATGTGACCAGGAATGCAAATTTCACGCTGACCTGTGTGGCAAAGGGACCTCCAGAACCGGTTTCTATCCGCTGGTTCTGTGATGGAAAACTTGTTGAGGGAAAAGAAGAGGAAACGTCTCCCAGCAGGTTAACTGTGGAAGGTAAAGCAAGCTGTGAAATTCTTTAATGACGTTTAGCTAGTTTTGCTTTTAATTGTTCCCCTTCTGGAACTCAGTGAGGAGACAATTCAATCATCAGCACATCTAGATAGTCAACATTTCTGGACAACAGTGTTTAGTCATGCTGTCCCTACCCCGTCTTTGGTTTCTGTTCTGCCTCGTGTCTGCTGCCTCAGCAGCTGCACCTTGCTTACGGCAGTCAGATTTGTCACCACGTTGCTCTGTAGCGCGGTTAATAGTGGTCATTCACATATGGTTGACGTTTTTTGCAATGCTGCTCAACCAGTGCAACATTGGACAAAAAGCTGATTGCTGGAATAGCACACTTCCTGAAAGTTTCCTGAGACTGTGCTTGACGCCAGTGCATTTTGGAAGCAACATTGGAAACTTGTACAATATCATATAAATAAGGTAAAAGTTTTCAAAGGGAAGAGGGCATGGAAACTGGTTTCTCTTCAGGCACCTCGCTCCCCAAAAAAATTTCTCAGGGTGTTATGATACATTGGTAATCTTCCTGGGAATACCACAACTTTCAGTCCATTTAACTGGAATTTTAGAGTCTTGTCACTTATAGAACTTTATCCCTCAATGGTTTGTCACCAGGCCTCTGCAGAGCAGAATCACCTCAATTGAATTTTGACCTGGACTTGGACTAGACCATTTTAACATGAATATGTGTTGATCTAAATGCACTGATAATTAAAAGAACCTCTGATTGTCATGTATGCTTCCCATCAGCTCTGTCCAGCTTCACTCTTATTTCTGAAGAAAAACATTCCCACTGCATGATACTGCCACTGTCATGTATTACAGAGTGCATGCTGCAGTCAATGTTGATGTGGAATGTTGGTTTTTCACCACATGCCACATCAATTTCTGCATTAAAGCCAGAAATTTCGGTTTTGGTCTGATCTGACAGCAGATGTTTTTGTCCCTCATATGACCTGTGCCTTTGTTTCAGTGATGGTTTTCTTCCTGCCACTGCTTGCTGGATTTGGGGAAGCCACTTTATAAGCGTCATCAGGTCTAAGTCAGCTTTTTTCAATTTTGCATTCGTTCTCATTTTCTAGTTTTCAGAGTCTGATTGATTTGAGAGTTCATTTTTACCTTCAAAATGGTAAAGGGACATTTAATGTCTGATATTAAGCTGGAAATTAGACCTGATTTCTCAAGTCCTTCCCCAGGACACATTAATAAACCAGGTTTAAATGAAAGACTAAGCAACAGCGAAACACTAGATTACATACAGAGGAGTCACTCAGATCAATTTGGTTGCAGCAGAGTTAGATAGAAGGCTTGAAGTATAGAGCAGTGGGTTGAAACAGCTGTTTCAGAGACACAGCCATAGAAAAAGCACTGAAAGCAGATTTTAGTCTGTGTTCCTATAGAAGTTAAGTAAAATCTTAACTTATAATAATTACAATGCAAAAAAATAGAAGTTTTTGAAGTGTATGCTACAGAATTTATCGCTACGTTTCAAAAG